TCTTATAAGGGTGTCAGATGAGGAAAAAAGCTTCAAGAATAAAGATGTGTAGCCTGGCATTTTCTGGAAGTAACCTAAAGATGCAGTATTCAGGAAGAAGAGCATGTTCGCCCACAGTGGGATCTTCTATAGCCGTTCTCAAGAAGGCTAGACTCTGGGATGAGGGGGAAGTCCATGTGATCCAGTAATGCAAGGAAGCTACAGCTTTGTTAAGATACACGAAGGAGGAGAATTTACAGAAATGCCATTAAGTAGTTGAATTAAAACAGGATAATTCTGTGAACTTATTCCACCCCCACAATTTCCAAATCATCTGTAAGGCTGTCCAACCAGTTCTAAACACAAATTTCATAAATGGCAGATTCGTGGGTGGCAATGACCAGAGCAGGGCAATGGCTCATGGCCCTTGGTGGCTGAATCTGGACCATTCTTACTTAGCATTATAATCACCCAAACACCTAGGATGTGGCTAGCCAGGCCTCCTGTGTGGCTTGTCCTCTTTCATCTATTAGGGGACAAAAGGGCTCAGTCTGTGTAGGTGGCCTGGGCTGTGCTAAGTTTGGACATTCCAGTGACTGTAAATCCTTTAACCACTGAGATCCCGACACCCCTTGGTCCTGTGAAGATTAAATAAGAGGTTGTGGTGGCATATATGTTGTCTCCTTCTGTAGCTTCGGCAGCTCTGGTGTTCACTGCTACCTCACAAGCAAGAACTCAGTGGGTGCAGACTGAGCAGCAGAGGGAGGTTCTTGGGGATCCTCTCCGCCACTGTGCCTTTGGCCTCAGTCTACACAGTATGCCAGCCTGGGGAGGGGAGTGGCAGTGTTGATCATAATGCTTCCTTTTAGAGCTTATTTTAGATCTTTTACTCCATGGAAGAAGGATAGGTGGTCTTATCGCATGCAATTTACTACCTCTGAAAACTCATTAGAGGGCAGCTGTGAGCTGGTTCTGACTCAATGGCACAAATAACATTAATGATCTCTTACTAGTCCTTGGGTAGTATGAATTGTTAACATGCTCAGCTGCTGACTGGAAGTGTTGAAAGTTCAAGTGCATCCTGAGGCATTGAAGGGATTGATCTATTTCTTAAAAACTTCTTAAAAAATATTCTGAAAAATCAGCCACTGGGGGGAAAAAAAATCAGCCACTGAAACCCCCTATGGAGCCCAGTTCTTTTCAGATGCAGGTAGGCAGCTGACACAATGGCAACTGGTTTTTCTTGTCTCTTTCTAAGCATCAAGTTCCATGGGAATTTCTCCTCCACCAGGCCAGCAAAAAGGAGAATAACTTGGGGCCTGGTGGCCATTCATGCTACAGAGAGAACAACCAAAGGCCGCCACGAACAGGGAGGGGAAGCTGTGGCCACACCACGTCCTCTGAGGGCGCCTGTGCCTTCAACACTCAGGCATAATGAGGTTCCCAAAACAAACAAACAAACAAACAAACAGGAAACCACTCTGGGTGGTTGAGAAGAAAGTACAAGTCTTCTGATGTTGAGTTTGATTCCAAGTCCTACTGCTGAGACCTTGGGCACAACAATCTCTCTCTGAGCCTTAGTTTCTCCATCAGTTAAATGGGGAAGTTATCTTGTGATTGTCACATTTATTGTGAAGAAACAAAAGGACACTTAACGCATGCTCTGCAAATGTGACTTCTCTTTCCTTCCCCAAGTAGAAATCCCTCAGAGCTGTGGCTGTTGGTTCTTTGGCAGTAAGAGGTCTGAACAGTTCTGACTTCAAGTGAAACCTAAAAATGGACCTCCATGGGCCCTATCCCAGGGAGTGTGACAGAGTGTAATAGTGAAAATACGAAATTAACTAGAAAGCAGGAATTCTGGCCCTGCCACTGATTAAGTGGGTGTCCTTGGAGACACTGGTCAAATACATTTTCCAAGCTCAAGTTTCCTCTGTATGGAAGGGAAACAAATACTCACTTTAAGAGGGCCTAGAACGCTATGAAAACTCTACAGGTGCTCAATCAAATTTCCTATTAACTGGTCTCTAACCTACTGCCCCTCCTGCCCGATCCCTCCTCATCCTAACTCTTACCCTAGGGAATCCTGTAGGCATTCCACTAGGCTTGGGCTGAATAGCAATGGACATATTTCATACTTCTGGAAGAGAAAGATTAACTGAACATTAATCAGCTAATGCTAACTATAAAACACACGCATGCTCTCTCAGAAATCTTTCTGTTGTATTCTAATCACAATCAAATGATTTTAAGGGATTGGGAAATCTGTGATTCTGGAAGAGAAATGGACATAGGAGAATTCCATTTTGGTACGTTTCAAGTGACTGCCTTTAAAAATCCTTTGTACGTCACACTTAATAGGGTTCCAAAGGTATTTGCTAAATGGATGGATGCTTCGATAGAGGGACAGATGGATCAATGGATGGATGGTCATCAGCTGGCAAGGAAGCATGGACCTTCAATGAACTGACTGGAGAGCCGACGGGGACACTGTGGCCTTGAGGAATCCTGGAATGCTGAGCTGCTGCAGGAGCCCATGGAAACCGTCTTAATCAGCACCATCTTGCTGTCCACGAGTTAATTATTTAATGCCTTATTTGGAAGTGAAAATTGGAGTAAGAAATCAAGAGGACTGAATCTCCCTCAGGTTCAAAGATCTTCCATCTATTTCTGCCACCCAAATCCGATGCCCTTTGGTATTACTGGTGGAGATAGAGAATCATGATTCAAACAAACCCAGGCAAGATTAAAGGGCCAGGCACCAAGCCCGTGTGCCCAGCACAGAACCACCCCCATCAAAGGCCTGTTAGGATCTGGCTCCTGCCTGCCGGCTTGTCTCCCAACACAATGCCGACAGATTGGTGGAGCTGGGTTCTTTCCTCCCAGAACAATATTTTATGAGGAGCCTGTTTTATTAAAATATTTTCCGCTGGATGCTTCCTGTGTTTCAAGAAGTTGGTCTTGCCAGCTGGAGCTGATGACAGTTGAGAAAAACACATCCAAGTGCTGTTGTGACATGGCATTTGGAAGTGGAGGAGCACGGCAGGGGGGTGGGAGAGGGCAGGCTGGGAAGAGACGCAGGAAAACACCAGTGTTGCACCAGAAACGTCTGGCATTATGGAAGCACAGTATCCCCGCCCCCATCATTAAAAACATGTGAACAGGAGAGAAACTATTGGAACGACGTCCTGAAATAAGCTCCATCTAGTCATGGCCAGAGATTCTGGGTGTATAGTCACTGAGAACTTATCTCTTATTTCTTATTGCCAGTTTCACAACCCAGCGAACTAACCAGAATGCTCCCAGCCCATTCCAACACCAAAGGTCTCCTGAGTAGAAATAAACATGGTGAGCTACAATAAGAACCTAAAAGTGATACCGATAGAGTTCAAGCAATAGCAACTAGCATTCTGGGATTGTCATACACTAGCTTTCTGACAAATAACAGAGTCTTCCCCTCATATAGAAAACGCAAAAATGAAATAAACATAATAAAGTTCAACCTTTCATTGGGGAACCGGCTATAAAATGAGTAATGCCTTGCAGAAATGTGGTGTGCTCATCATGTGGGGGTTTTCAGACGTGAAAAATCCTGGGTTCCCATTTCAAACATTTACAAGTTCATGACTCTATCATAGTATGATAGTACCCTATACTTCTATAGGGTTTGCTTCAGATTTAAATTGATGACTTTAAATTACTTAAATCCACAGTCGCTGTTTGTGCTCTTGACAGTCGCTAAAGAGAAAGGCTGAGGTAGGGTCTGAAGAACGTTGACGTTGTGCAGCATTTTCGCCACAAGGGGGCAATCATAATCCATGCCGGTCATAGCCAGGCGCCTGGCCCTCAGTATTCCCTTCACCCTATTGTGCACAGGGAGAGTTGAACATGCACCCAGCTCCGGCCACACTCTCTTTCAAATTCCGCATAACTAAGCACCCCCAGCACACACACTCTCTGCGTGTGTCTCTCCTACAGCTTTTCCAGCAAGGCATGAATGCAACACTTTGAAACAGTACGGTACTGTGAAGCAGACGCTGCTGGGGGAGCTATGGTGTACTAACCTGGGTTAGACCACAGCATCACATTCAGACTCCTCTCTTCCTTTGGATCCTTCTCTGAGTGGGATCTACCACCTCCATGAACTTCTTTTCCTGAGAAGTTCTCGTTTTTCTAAAAGCAAGATAAGCTTGAAGGGCATTCCTCTTCCTACTGTAGGGACCTCAGGATACTTGGGGGAAGATGCGATTAATTTTGGGCTAAGGTGAATTCATGAACTTTTCTCAAGGCATTGTAGGACACCAGCTGCTGGGTTGTCTCGGCAGAGACCAAGTGCTGTGTACCTTGGAGACAAAGCGAGCACTGCCTTCCTCCGATGAATGAGGCGCTCCCACCGCCTCTAAAATAGCCCTGAAGTCAGGTAGCTGCCTGTCCCTTTAACTTTCACCCTATTCATGTGATTCAATCTCTGGCCATTGCTCATGTGCCTTCCTCATTTGCTCACTTCCCCTCTCTGACATCTACTCTGCAATTTATTCCAAGCTGGGTCCTACAGTGGGTATAGTGCACAGACCCCATGCCTGCCTTTTGAGGAGCTTTGTGTCTGAGGGAAGGCGGACAAGGAAAATGATAGCAGCTGAGTAAACACTCTGGAACAGGAGCTCGATCATGGACGAGGATGACCTGTGTGTGAATCAGAACTGCACCAGATCCAGGGAGGTGGTCGCTTCATCTCCAGCTGATGCTACATCTTTAGCATGAGAAAGGGCTGGGAACCTTCTTGTGATCCACCCAAGCACACTTTGGGCCTAATCACGCAGCACAGGTCTGGCTCTGGGCCTGCTCCTGTGACAATCAGAACCACTGGCAGTGGACATTAATCAAGCCTGGCTCTCCAACTGGTGGCTCCGTGAAATGCCCACTCCAGGGCAATTTCTTAAAGGCTAGGGCTCCACACTTAAGCTTCACAAGGTGCTGGCCCCATAGTGCTCCCCACAAAAGAGAGTGGAATGAGGGGTACTCACTGCTCAGGGCTCGGGACAGATGTCCTCCGGCCTTCCACTGCGATGTTGCTCTTTGGTCTCTTAACAACATACGGACGGGGTGGGCGGACCTAGAAGAGACAGGGAAAATCCATAGGAGAGCTGAATTGGAAAAGCTGCCCGGAGAGACTCTAAAGATTTGGGTAAGTCACCCTAAAAGAGATGTTATGGATTTTCAAGATACAGGCTACAAGAACCTCACTTATCCTGGAAATATTTCCACTTAATCGTAGCAAAACTGGAACTCAGAGACCCCTCAGATGGGAAAGGCTATCTTGAAGAGTTTTGTCTGCTCATCGGCAGGATGGGAGAGTTACACGTGCCTCTGCGGAGCTGCTGTCAGGATTCAAGGTGAGGCCTAGGCCGGACCCAGAACAAAGGGCTCTCCTCAGTGACAAGCTCCCTCTGCCTTGCTCTGGAACCCAGAAATGGGTTTCACAGGACAAAGCTTCACTCATATTTTTTTCAGAGTTCATTCAAATTCTTAGTTTGTCTCATTTATGACTGAATTAATTAAAGGATACCTGTTTTTCTCTATAAATGGGGAAGACAAAAAAAAAAAAAATAAAAACAAACCTAAAAAGCAGATAGGAGCATTCAAGGGTTCCAAAGAAACATCTTCCAGTTTCTGTCCTGGCATATTTGTGGGCCAGATCTACTGGGCAGGGTTCACTCACTCTGGACACTGTACACCTAGTATGGCCACACTCAGCAGCACAGATCTGGCATAAGGGACCAACGGGCATATTTGAAGGTAAAATATACAGCTTCCTAATCCCACAGCCTGGGCTATAGTGACGAGATGCCTCCCTCTCCCTTTTCCCTTATCCAGGCCGGAGGCCTCTGAAAGCCAAGAGAAGGGTCTTTTTAGAAAGGGGTTCCTTTCCTCTTCCATCAAAGCTGGTTTTGGGGGTCAGGCTAAGAATTTCCAGGTTCCTTTCAAGGGTACTCATCTGGTCCACACACAGTAGAAGGCTTTTAGTACTATAACCTGCTACGGTTCCAGTGCCAGGGAAGGGCTGGGGGAGAGATGAGGGGACAAAGGTAGGAAGCAGATTACTTCCTGGATTTTGTGGACAAGGCAGGGAAGGGGAGAACACATACATACTTCATTTCCTGTCTTCCCTCACCCCTGAATAGTCCCCGATTTGTGGGCAATGCAGCACGCTGGCTTAGGAACACAGACAGCAGAAGCTGACTACACGTAAGGTCTGTCTCGCGTCTCACCGAGTCTTCTGGTCCCTGTGTCAGATCTAACCTACAGTTTTTCCTCTGGAATGGCCAGTCTGATCTCAGCCATGTTTGGCAAATCAGAGATGTGGTCAACGCCAAAGCCATTCTGCCAAAAGCAAAAGACTTCTTCTCTGAGGTCATTGTGAAGGGATTAATGCAGGGGCTCGATCATGCTCATTCTGCTTCTCTCTGACACAGATGTCCCCTTCTTAGTAATAAGACAGGGAAAGCCTTCAGGTGGAGAAGGGGGAGTGAAGGGGTCTCTGAGTTAGAAGACCTTATCCTGGCCCAGCTCCAAGCACAGTATCTAGTAAACAGTGACCACATGGGATGATATTGAAAAACAAATGAAGGTTACTATTATTATCATTGTTATGAGAACAGTGTCTGACACACTAGACATCCAGTGAATGTTTGCTGTATAAAGAAATAAATGAGGGGGTATTTCTCCAATGCATTCCAACTCTGTGAACTGGCTTCCTGAAGCAGAATCCTCAGCAGCCTGGTAAAGTGATCACCTGGCTGGGAGGACCCCCTGAGGCTCACCACACAGGCGGTATGCAGGTGGGGTGAGGGAGCCCCCACCCCAGGAGACCTGCCAAGATTTCAGGAGAGGTCAGACACTAAGGACTGTCAGCTCGTCCCTGCGCAAGCCTGCTCCCTGCTACAATAAAGACGGGTTAAGAATGTGAACTTGTGGCTGAAATGGGGGATTAAGTTTGTGGCAACTTCGACTGAACTTGCAACGTGGTGAAACATGGAGAAAAAGAACAACAGAGCTAATTAGACGAGCTGAGCTGTCAGAGTGCCGCTGAATGGCTCAGCGCCAACAAACAAAAGGAATGGGTTGGCAATCAGCAGGATCGATGGAGGAGACTGCTTCATTAGGGATGATAAAACAGACAGAGCAGGGAGGGGGAGGGGAGGAGAAGGGAGGGAAGCAGCGCAGGCGGGGGAGGGAGAGGAAGACACAACAGACCCTGAGACAGGCAGGCACCCACACAGCCACAGACACACCCAAAGTCATACCCACCTGACTGCTGTGGACAGAGCCAGGCAAAGATACAAAACACCCAGAAACAGGCAGGAAACAGGCATGTGTCCAAGCCCTGCGAGAGTCACCATGACATCTACACACACCCAGCCCCACCACACACACACACACACACACACACACACACACACACGGGGATGCTGACAGCAAGAGGCACAGCTATCCGCTGCAGACACTGACACACTCGGCCAAAATGGTTTAATTAAGCCCCAGATCACAAGATGATGCTGACAACAGGCCCATCATATTTTCATGATCATATCCATCTTTCTAGGGTGCTCAGGGAGGATAGGGGCTGGAGACACACACACACACACACACACACACACACACACACACACACACACACACGCACGGGCTGCCGCAGCGCGAGGGGAGAAAATGCTAACCCGGGACTCAGAACTCTGTTCAAGGGGGACTTGAGGGGGAAGTTGGGAAACCAGCCAATTCCCCACTGGATTTAAAACCTGAGAAATCTAAGTCGGCAGGGTTAAATGTGTATTGAATACAAAAGCACCAAGCACATTTGATTTTAATGGTGAGTAAGAAGTAATAAATACAGAGCTTAGAAAGCAGACTGACCACAGTCTGCTCTCCTGTGTGCCTCAGGACCAGCCCCATCTCTGCCTATGAGAGACACTGATGCTTTCTCCTGATCTTTCCTTTTTCTTCTTTTTTAAAAAGAAAATCCAAAATCCTCTGGTAACATCTGAACTTCAGCCACAGGTGCCGGGCCATAAAGGCTGACTGGCTGGACACCATTTCCTGGCCACCCTGGGTCACTTTAGCACAGAATGCTGGCAGCTAAGTGACCTGACAAAATTTGGTTTGGGTCCAGTGGACCCTGGACATAGGACACTTCCTGGCTGCTGACACGGAACCTTGGTGGCCTGTGCTCTTTGAGGTTTTTAAGCGGCTCCATGCCCAATTGACACTTGGGCTTCACATCTAGGGTGTAGTGGCATTCATAAGAAATGCTTGTTGGCATGCACATGGTGAAAACAGGCTCTAGCGACCTGCAAATAAATGCAGGGCCCCTGAAAGTCCCACCTTTCTAGGACTCTCAAACCAGTTCCTTAGTGACTGTTTGGCATAGTTTATCGGGGATATGTGTATGCTCCTTTCATGCCAGGGACAGTTTCTGGCACTGAACAAAAATGACTCACTCAGGTGGGTGTTATTATTTTATGGAAGATGAAACTAAGGTTTAGAGAAGTGTGTGTTGTCCAAGATCACAGTCAGAAAGAGGCTGATATTCAACCAGGATGGGCCTTTCTGACATCTACAACCAGGAGAACTGGTCACAGGTACTCTGCTCCTTTAATGTACCATAAACCAAGGGAGGTAGTGCAGCTCTGAGCACTGGATCATCACCTCCTACTCTTGTGCAGTGGTGGAGACAGCTCAGACTTGGGGTTTCTCAAGGCCTTGGCTGCCCAAGTCATCAGGGTCCAGTGAATGTGGCTGGGCCCCCACCCTGAGATGGCAAGGACTCTCTGTCCCTCTCTTGAAGATTCAAGATTGCACATCCATGAGCAATCCTGTCTTGAATCATGTTTTCCAAGAGATTCCCGCCTGTCTGAGAGTCTAGGTCTTTAAAGGGCATTCTGAGCTCTCTCCACTGGATAAGCTTGCCATAAGTGAGGTAGCATGGTGAGGAGAGAGGAGAGAGAGCGAAGAGAGGCCTGGGCTCTAGGGCTGACTGTTCTTTTGCCACAAACTGTTCTTGTGGCTGCAAACTGGGGAACTAGGCTCTCTAATTTATCTCTCAGGATAAATGAGACATGGGAGTACCTAGCACAATCCTAGACACATAAATGTGAATCTTCTCCCATTTTTATGCCTGCCAGGACCTAACAACGTTCTTGAGAATGTGGGGAAGCACAGATAGTTGCTGGTCAATTTCCCCCACAACTTTAAATTCTACCCTGGCATCTTACACAAAGTTCACCTCAGTGTAAATAGAAGTACCAGGGAGCTAGTATTCTGGAAAGAACAGGAATTCCAGCATTAAGCTATATTGAGGATCAGTTTTCTCATCTCTAAAATAGGCCATGATAACATCTACCTCACAGGTTTATTGCAAAGCTCAGCTTGGATGATGGACATAAAAACTATTTACCATCTGTAAAATCCTAGACAAAATGGTAGCTATTAATACGCTGGTTCAGTACTAAGAAACTTAGGGGTTTCCCCCCCCCTGAGAAAAACCCCCCACATCAAAAAACTTAAGACGACTAAATACTACTACTGTGTGTCAGCACTAGTGAGAGGCACTTCACAAATGTTACTGCTGTTTGTTCACACACACACACACACACACACACACACACACACACACACACACACAATAGACAGAAAGGTGAGGCAGATTCCACAAAGATAAGTGGTAGACAGAGTGGAGGTTCAAGTCTAACTGTTAGCTGTCAAATTCATGTTGCTAATCCCTGTACAGCATCTCTCATAAAAAACAAACAAACAAACAAAAAAACACCAAAAGGCACCATCTAAAAGGAGCCATATATTGCCCCCAAAGGGTCACTCTGTGATTTCTGCTGTCTGTTCCTTCTTCCCAAAAACAGTAAGCAGAATATTCCAGGCCTTGACAGCTGTACTGACTGGAATACAGGATGGATCCATCGATGTGGCTGGCTGGCAACTTCGACATCCCAGCGCCATAGGTGAAAGACATCTTAGTGCCCCCAAAAGCCCCACACCAACCCTCTTAACTCCCCCACAGTAGAAAAGGCAAGGCAAACAGAGTCACAGAATGTCCAACACCTC